TTATTCATTTGTTGTTGGATATTTAGATTGATTCCTGCTTTTGGTTCTTCTGAATCATGTTGCAGTCAACATTGGTGTGCAAATGTGCTTTGTAGTTTTGATTTGTATTTGCCTAATAATGAGTGATGTCTTGAGCAAGTTTTCATGTGCCTTTTAGCCATCTCTATGTCTTCTTCAGAAGATGTCTCCTCAGCTCCTCTACCCATTTTTAGTTTTAAATAAAAAAATTTATTTAAAGATTTTTAAAATCTTTTTAAAGATTTTCATTTATTTATTTGAGAGAGGGAGAAAGAGAGTGACTACATAAGCAGGGGGAGGGGCAGAATGAGAAGCAGGTTCCCCTCTGAGCAAGGAGCCTGCTGGAGAGCTAGATCCCAGGATGCCAAGATCATGACCTGAGCTGAAGGCAGCCACTTAACTGACCGAACCACCCAGGTGCCCCCATGTCCATTTTTTAATCAAATTGTTGTTATTTAGTTGTTTGGGTCCTTTAAGATATTAACCCTTTTATCAGATACATGATTTGCAAATACCTTCTCTAGATCAGTCGTTACCCTTTTTATTTTGTTGATGATTTCCTTCACTGTGCAGATGTATTTTATTTTGATACAGTCCCCCTCGTGTATTTTTGCTTTTGTTGCCATTGCCTTTGGAGTCAGGTAAAAAAATATGGGCAAGGTTGATATGAAGGAGCTTAAGACCTATCCCCTCTTTTATGGTTTTATGGTTTTAATCTTAATCCACGTGAGTTAATTTTTGATTATAATGGAAGGTAGTAGTCCAGTTGCAGTCCTTTGGCAAGTAGCTGTCCAGTCTTTCCAGCTACATTTATTGAAGAGATTTGTATGTTCGCCATTGTATATTCTGGTCTACTTTATCTTAAATTAATAGACCATATATGTATAGATTGATTTGGGGGCTCTCTTTCTGTTCCATTGCTCTAATGTCTGTTTTTATGTGAGCACCATACTATTTTGGTTAGCATAGCTTTGTAATATAGTTTGAATTCAGGGACTGTGGTGCCTCCAGCTTTGTCCTTGTTTCTCAAGATTGCTTTGGCTATTTAGAATTTTTGTGGTTCTCTACAAATGTTAGGATTTTTTATTCAGTTTCTGTGGCAAATGTCATGGGAGTTTTGATGGGGATGTATTGAATCCGTAGATTGCTTTGCATAGTGTGGACATTTTAACAGTATTCTTGCAGTCCATGAGCATGAACCATCTTTCCATTTATTTGTGTTTTCTGTAGTTTCTTTCCGTGTATGTGTTTTTCGTCTCTGGCGTAAATTTATTCCTACCTATTTTATTCTTTTTTTTATAATTGTAAATGGGATTTTTTCCCCTTAATTTCTCTTTCTGGTAGTTTGTTGGTGTATAAAAATGCAGTGTTATTGATTTCACTTACTAATTCTGACAGTTTTTTGGTGGAATCTTCAGGGTGGTTGCTTTTTTTTCCCCCAAGATTTTATTAATTTATTGAGGGAGGGAGGCGGGGGAAGAGAGAGAAAGCACGAACGTGAGCCCCGTGAGGGGCAGAGGGAGAGAGAAGCATACCCCCTTCCCCCACTCAGTGGGCAGCCCAATGCAGAACTCAATCCCAGGATTCTGGGATCATGACCTGAGCCAAAGGCAGCAGCTTAACAGACTAAGCCTCCCAGGCACCCCTCTAGGATTTTCTATATATGAAGAGTTTACAAATGGTTACACTTTCATTTTCCAATTTGGATGACCTTTATTTCTTTCTCACATGTAATTGCTCTGGCCAGAACTTCCAGTACTAGTGGTGATTGGGCATCATTGTGTTTCTCTTTTTTTTTTTTTTTTTTTTTAAGATTTTATTTGTTTTAGAGCAAGAGAAGGAGATAGGGCACAGAGGGAGAGGGACAAGGAGAGGGATAAGCAGACTCCCCACTGAGTAGAGAGTCTGATGAAGGGTTCGATCCTAAGACCCCGAGACCATGACCTGAGCTGGAGGCAGACGCTTAACTCACTGAGCCACCCAGGTACCCCCTTCTTTTAAAAAGATGTATTTATTTATTTTAGAGAGTGAGAGCACGAGCTGGGGGAGGGGCAGAGAGAGAGAGGAAGAGAATTTCAAGCAGACTCTCAGCCAAGCACAGAGCCAAACATAGGGCTCCAGCTCATGACTCCAAGATTATAACTTGAGCCCAGATTAGGAGTTGGACACTTTATCGACTGAGCCATGTAGTCACTCTGTATTCCTCGTGTTAAAAAAAATCAGCTTTTTGCTGTTGAGTATGATGTTAACTGTGGGCTTGTCATATATATGGCCTTTATCATGTGCAACTGTGTTCCCTCTGTATACACTTTGTTAAAAGTTCTTATGAATGGATGTTGAATTTGTCAAATATTTATCTGCATCTATTGAGAAGATCATAATGTTTTTATCATTTTGCTAATAACGGTGTCTCTCATTGTTTTGGGAATGTTGAACAATCTTTGCATCCCTGGAATAAAAATCCCACTTAATCGTGGTGTATGATTCTTTTAATGTGTTGTTGAATTTGTTTTGCTAATATTTTACTGAGGATTTTTTTAAACATTTTATTTATTTATTTGAGGGAGAGAGATACAGTGAGAGAGAGCATGAGCAAGGAGAAGGTGAGAGGGAGAAGCAGACTCCCTGTGGAGCTGGGAGCCTGATGTGGGACTCGATCCCGGGACTCCAGGATCATGACCTGAGCTGAAGGCAGTCGCTCAACCAACTGAGCCACCCAGGCGCCCTTATTGAGGATTTTTACATCTGTCTTCACCAGGGATATCGGCTGGGAATTTTCTTTTTGTTTGTGTGGTGTCCTTGTCTAGTTTTGGTATTAAAAATGAGTTTGGAAATGTTCCCTCCTTTTCAGTTTTTTGGGAAATGTGTGAGAAGGGTAGATATTAAATCTTTGAATGTTTGCTAGAATTCACCGGTGAAGTTGTCTGGCCCTGCCTGGACTTTGGTTTGTTAGGAGGTTTTTGATTACTAATTCAATCTCCTTACCCATAATTAGTCCGTTCAGATTTTCTGTTTCTTCTTGATTCAGTCTTGGAAGATTTTATGTTTTTAGGAATTTACGCATTTCTTGTAGGATGTCCAGTTTGTTGGTGTGTAGTTGTTCACAGTGGTCTCTAATGATCCTTTTTATATCCTTGGTATCCGTTATAAGTCCTCTTTCATTTCTGGCTTTATTGGAGCCCTCTTTTTTTGTTGGTAAGTCTGGCTAAAGTTTTGTGAATTTTATCTTTTCAGACAAACTATATTCTTCTGTTGGATGGAATTTTCTGTAAATGTTAACCAGTTTTTGTGAACTGATGTGTGAAAGCCATTGTTTCCTTATTGATTTTTTGACTGGATGATCTATCCATTGATGTAAGTGGGGCATTAAAGTCTCCCACTATTGCATTGCTATAATTTTTCCACTTGTCTATTTTTCTTTTTATGAAATAGATTTTATTAATTTGAGAGAGCGCGTGAATGAGACTGATAGGAGAGCATGAATGGGGGCAGGGAGGGAGCAGAGAGACAGGGAGAAGCAGACTCCCTGCCAAGCAGGAAGCCCCATGCTGGGCTCTATCCCAGAAACCTGGGATCATGACTTGAGCCCAAGGCAGCTGCTTAACTGACTGAGCCACCCAGGTGCCCCTCAGTTTTTCCATTTAGATAATGGTATTATTTGCTCTCTATATTTAGGTGTTCCTATGTTGGTTCGTGAATATTTACATTTTTTAATATTTCTTCTTGCTGGGTTGACTCCTTTATCCTTCTGTAATACCTTTGTCTTTTCTTGCAGTCTTTGTTTTAAAGTCTGTTTTGTCTGATAGAAGTAATAGCTATCCCAGCTTTTTTTTCTTTGTTTCCATTTGCATGAAGCACCCTACTTCATTGTTTTATTTTCAGTTTGCATCCTTTTCCATTTCTTGGCTTTCATTTGGTGTGTGTCCTCACATCTGAAGTGAGTCTCCCTTAGGCAGCATATAGATGGGTCTTATTGTTGTTGTTTTTAAAGATTTATTTATTTATTTTAGAGAGAGGGAGAGAAAGTAGGGAAAGGGACAGAGAAGGAGGGAGAGAATCCCCAGCAGAATACCCCACCCCCAGCCCAGAGCCTGATGCAGGGCTTGATCCCAGTACCCTGAGATCATGACCTGAGCTGAAACCAGGAAATCTGATGCTTAGCCAACTGAGCCCCTCCCCCCCGCGCGGCTGCCCGGGCTGCCCTGAGTGCCCTGGGTCTTGTTGTTTGGAATCTATTCAGGCACTCTGTGTCTTTCAAAGTATTTCGTTTTTTTACATTTAAACTAGTTATTAGTAGCTTTGTATTTACTGCCGTTTTGTTGTTTCTCTCTGTTTTTGTGGTTCCTCTCTATTCCCTCTCTTGTGTTCTTCCCTTTTGGTTTGATGACTCTCTACTTAAGGATAGCAAGTTAATTTTCTACTTTCAACATAATGATAGTTCAATTTGAATACATTCTAAAGCTCAGCGTTTTTACTCCTTTTCCCCCCATTTTATGGTTTTAATGTAACATGTTAGATTTTAAAATTTTGTATCTCAACTATTATTACAGTTTTTACTACTTCTGCTTTTTAGTTAGCATACTGGCTTTTTTTTTTTTTCTTAAGGCGGCATCTACTGTTTATTTTCATTAAAACTGACATTTAAAAAAAGCGTATACAGCTCGGGGCTGTGTTTGAGGCCGCGGTAGGTGGGGACGCGGCGGCGCTGCTCCTCCGCTGCCGCCGGGAGAGTCTGCGGCGCCGCCAGCTCCGCGCGCGAACTCTCGTCCATGGCACGCAGGGCGGCGGCCGCCCGAGCTGCCCGAGTCTCGCCCGCCGCCGTCGCACCGCACTTGTAGGCGAGTCCGGAGGTCGAGGGCAGAGGAGAAGTCAGCCCCGAGCTGCAGCCCCGGCCGGCTGCCGCCTCGCGGCGAGAGGCAGTTCCCAGAGCACCGCGGCCCTCCCCCTCGCGGCGAGGCTGCCCTGCACCCGCGCCCGCAGCGATGATCTTCCCCAGCAGCAGCGGCAACCCCGGCGGCAGCAGCAACTGCAGGATGCCCTCTCGCAAGCAGCAGTCTCTCTGGTCCCAGCGCACCCCATGGCCCCTCCCAGCCCCAGCACCACCAGCAGTAATAACAACAGCAGTAGCAGTAGCAACTCAGGATGGGACCAGCTGAGCAAAACGAACCTCTGTATCCGAGGGCTGCCTCCCAACAGCACAGACCAGGACCTGGTGAAGCTGTGTCAGCCATATGGGAAGATCGTCTCCACGCAGGCAATTTTGGATAAGACAACAAACAAATGCAAAGGTTATGGTTTTGTCGACTTTGACAGTCCTGCAGCAGCCCAGAAAGCTGTGTCTGCCTTGAAGGCTAGTGGGGTTCAAGCTCAAATGGCAAAGCAACAGGAACAAGATCCTACTAACCTATACATTTCTAATCTGCCACTGTCCATGGATGAGCAAGAACTTGAAAATATGCTCAAACCATTTGGACAGGTTGTTTCTACAAGGTTACCAGGGGATTCCAGTGGCACAAGTTGAGGTGTTGGCTTTGCTGGGATGGAATCAACAGAGAAGTGTGAAGCCGTCATTGGTCATTTTAATGGAAAATTCATTAAGACACCACCTGGAGTTTCTGCTCCTCCAGAACCTTTGTTGTGTAAGTTTGCGGACAGAGGACAGAAGAAGAGGCAGAACCCAAACAAATACATCCCTAATGGAAGACCATGGCATCCAGGAGGAGAGGCTGGAATGACACTTACTTATGACCCAACCACAGCTGCTCTACAGAACGGATTTTATCCTTCACCATACAGTATTGCTACAAACCGAATGATCACTCAAACTTCTCTTACACCCTCTATTGCATCTCCTGTATCTGCCTACCAGGTGGCAAAGGAAACCAGAGAAGACAGGTATCGGGGCTGCTCTGCTATCAAGGTGCAAAGTCCTTCTTGGATGCAACCTCAACCCTATATCCTACAGCACCCCGGGGCCGTGTTAACTCCCTCGATGGAGCACACCATGTCACTACAGCCCGCGTCTATGATCAGCCCTCTGGCCCAGCAGATGAGTCATCTGTCACTAGGCAGCACCGGAACATACATGCCTGCGACATCAGCTGTGCAAGGGGCTTATTTGCCACAGTACACACACGTGCAGACGACAGCCGTTCCCGTTGAGGAAGCAGGTGGACAGCAGCAGGTGGCTGTCGAGACGTCTAATGCCCATTCACCATATTCCTTTCAACCTAGTAAGGAACTGTGAGATGTACAGAAGGGCGTTCTTACATGAAGAAGGGTGTGAAGGCTGAACAATCATGGATTTTTCTGATCAGTTGTGCTTTAGGAAATTATTGACAGTTTTGCACAGGTTCTTGAAAACGTTATTTATAATGAAATCAACTAAAACTATTTTTGCTCTAAGTTCTGTAAGGTGCATAAAACCCTTAAATTCGTCTAGTAGCTGTTTCCCTGAACAGGTTTATTTTATTAAAAAAAAAAACAAACAAACACACAGAAAAAAGATTTTTTTCAAATGTTACAATGCAAAAAAAAAAAGGAAAAGAGATAAAAAAGTAAAAAAGAAAAGAAAAAGAAAACTTCAATTTTCTGGGTATGCACAAAGACCATGAAGACTTATCCAAGGCATGACCGGATTTTTGTGGTTTTTGTCCATTTTGTGTTTATTTGCGTTTTCTTCAGCTGTATGCAGTGGGCTCTGACTTTTAAGTAGTCCGACTTCCCCCATGGTGTTCCCTGCTTGCGAGTGTGAGTGTCGCTGTATCCAGTGTTGCCCTCCGCGTCTCTCTTCTTAGCTTTTCCGTTTTTCTTTCAACGTAGTGTGAAGTGTCTTCCCCTTTTCTATGAATTACAATTTGCCTTACCTCCTTTGATGCTGTAGCTGTTTCAGCAAAAGTTAGTTCAAACTAATGATGTAGAACGCTTTGACCAAATGAGCTGGTCTGTTATGCCTTGTAAAACAGCAGCGTAGGGCTTTTAAAAGGTAGTCCATAAAAGTTGCTGGAATTTTGGCTTTTTAAAATATGTAGTAGGTGTTTTTAATGATTTTTCACATAATGTGTAAGATAGTGAAATGCAAGAAGGGAAAAATGTTTTGTGTGAAACACATTTTCTGACTGGGGAACTTTTAATAGGTAACTTGTTTGTAAGGCTGTTCGCCAACAGTTTCCTCTGATAGTTTGACCGATTTAGGGTATCTGCTGTATGATGCAATGTAAAATCTTTTTTGCCTTTTTTCAGGAAAAAAAAAAAAAACCTAACTGGATGTTCTAGATTTAGTGTAGGTAGCATTGGGGTGGGGGGTGGGGAGGGGGGTGGGGACGGGGAGTCACCGGATGTTTTGTCCTTCCTTTATACTAATGCTAGTGCTTTAGACTGAGAACTACACCTGAGATCTGGCAAACCGAAAAACGTTGCTATTGCAACTAAATGGCAAAAGCTAAAAGTAAGGATTTTATCTTCAAACATAAGCTGAGGTAGGAATAGAAGCAAAATGATTGGCTACTAGCTCTCTCTATTACATAAATTTGAGAAATCAAAATTACTTGGCACTTTTAAAGGTAACTTCATCAAAGACCGAAGGACCAGTAACCAGTAGCTCCACCTTCTCTCAGCGTCATATCTTCTGTGCTCTTTATTTTTGCCGGACCAGTTTGCAGTTAGGAGAATGTGCCTTTTTTGTACCTTTGCATTTAGGTTTTATAATTTTAATTGATGTATGGACACACACCAACAAACAAAAAAGCATGAAGGAAGATTTGGATCCAAGCAGTGCCACACTTTACATCATCACTACAAGTGTTAAGTGTAAAGAGAAACCAATTTTGAAACTATGAAATTCCTGATTCATCAATACACCGTTATTTCTCCTGTAGTACTTAGAAGATAATTCACTGTTATTGAAGCTCTTTTATTAAGACAATTGCATACGTTTGAAAAGCAATGGTAAATTAAGTTGTCTTCCAAAACTGTGTACTTGTCTGGTCAACTGTGTGATCAGTTATCTACCTCAGAGTCTGTTTTCTTTTGTGCTGGGACAGGTTGCTGGCCCTCCCTGTTTCCACAGACCAAATCCTCCTAGCTCAGGAGCTAGGGCTAAGCAGTTTTTTCTTTCCAGTATTTTTTAGTTCTTAAATTTTGTGCTTGTATTTGATTATAGATGTCAGTGACATTTCATAGTTTCAAAAGTCCTTGCTGCTCTGAGAAGTGTAGATTCTAGTGAAAATTACATAGTCCTAAGAGAAATGTGTTTTGTTTTTGTTTTTGTTTCCTTTTTTAAAGTTGTGGTATTATTGGTTCTATGCTCCCTGGACTGTTACTGCTTTGTGAAAGTCCAGAGTGAATGCAGCGCCCTCCTTGGACCTAGTACATTTATAAACCTGGGTCTCTCACTACTTGATATTTTTGCATTAGTTAAGACAGAAATTTGATAGCTCAGTTAGAGGGGAGGGGAAATCTGCTGCTAGATATGTCTGAATTAAGTGCCATACTCGTCTGGGTAAGATTTGGGAAACATAACCTCTGTACATAAAATAAAAAATAAAAAATAAAAAAAATCAGTTAAACATCACATAGTAGACAGCCATTAAATTATAAAAAAATAAATTTATGAAGAAAGACCTTTTGTACAGATTGGAAAAAAAGATTTTCATAGAGATATCTATATGATCAAGAGAGTTAATTTTTTGTTTTTGTTTTACTAGTGCCACAAACTTGCCAGTGGTAACTTATTTGTCCGGTTCAAGATAACTCTGTAGTTTTCCTTCCTAGGACTTGTTGTTAAATGCCAAAAGACATTTTTGAACTGTACATTTGATCAGATTGTTAGCTTTTTCTGTTTTATTTCTTTGGAAAACCTTTGAATAAAAAAAATCTGAAATTTAAAAAAAAAGTGTATGCATTCATTTAATATTCAGTTGATAAATTTTTGTGAATGCCTCTTATGTACAAAGTTGGATTTAAACTAATGAACTGGTTAACGCTGATGTTACAAATATAAAGTCCTTTTAAATATTATTATTCAAAATAAATCTTGCTTTCTGTGGTACACACAGATGTGCTTTCAAATTAAGTTTCTCAATTTCCAGAATGCCTCCTTTAAAACAGAAGGGAACAAATAAAACAGAAGGGAACACATACTGACAATGCTGTTTTTTAATGCCTAACCATTTCAAAATCCACTGGAATATCCACTATCTTATATGTACCTTTATCAGACATTTTTTACTGTCACACGTTTTTTCCTAAAAAAAAAAAATATATATATATATATGTATATATATATATATATATATTTGAGAAAGAGAGTGCACAAATCAGGGGGCGGGGCAGCGGGAGAGGGAGAAGGAGAGGCCCTGGCATGGAGCTCAGTCCTAGGACCCTGAGGTAATGACCTGAGTCAAAGGCAGATGCGCTTAACCAACTGAGCTACCCAGGTGCTGCTCCTCATATGTCTTTTTCTCACAGTGTTTTTTTTGACTTGAAGAAGTGCCTTTAACTATTCTTGTAGGGCTGGCTGTTTTAGTTGTGATGAACTCCTCAGTTTTTGTTTGTCAGGACAGTCTTTTACCTCTCCTTCAATTCTGAAAGTAAACTTTTTAAAAGAGATTTTATATCTTTAAGTAATTTCCACACCCACTGTGGGGCTCGAACTTACAATCCTGAGATCAAAAGTCACTTGCTCTGGGGCACCTGGGTGGCTTAGTCGTTAAGCGCCTGCCTTCAGCTCGGGTCATGATCCCAGGGTCCTGGGATTGAGCCCCGCATTGGGCTTCCTGCTCCACAGGAAGCCTGCTTCTCCCTCTCCCACTCCCCCTGCTTGTGCTCCCTCTCTCACTGTGTCTCTCTGTCAAATAAATAAATAAAATATTTTAAAAAAAAAAAAAAGTCACTTGCTCTATTGACTGAGCCAACTAGAAAACCCCTTGCCCTTCAGTTCTGAATGGTAACTTTGTGGGGAAAATATTCCTTTTTTTTTTTCCCCATTTTATTTTATTTATTTTCAGTGTTCCAGAAAGTGGGGAGAATATTCTTGTTGGAAGTTTTTCCCCATCAGTGCTTTGAATATACTATGCATCTCCCTTTTGGTATGCAAAGATTCTGCGAGAAATGTGATAATAGTCTTATGGAGGTTCCCTTGTATATAACAGATTGTTGTTTTTACTGCTTTTAATATTCTCTGTTGTGTGGTTTCTCTCTGGACATTTTAATTGTAATGTGTTGTGGTGTGGGTCTCTGTTGGATTTAATCTTTTGGAACTCTGGGCTTTCTGGATCTGGGTATTTGTTTTCTTCCACAGGTTGGGAAGTTTTTAGCTGTTTCTTTTTTTTTCTTTTTTCTTTTATTTTTTTAAGATTTTTATTTATTTATTGGAGAGGGAGAGATCACAAGTAGGCAGAGAGACAGGCAGAAAGAGAGGGGGAAGCAGGCTCCCTACCTAGCAGAGAGCCTGATGCGGGGCTCGATCCCAGGACCCCGGGATCATGACCCGAGCCGAAGGCAGAGGCCCAACCCACTGAGCCACCCAGGTGCCCCTAGCTATTTCTTAAAATAAATGTTCTGGCCCTTTCTCTTTTTTCTTTCTGGAAAGCAAGAAATGTGAATGTTATTCTACCTAATGTTGTACAGGTCCCTTAAGCTAGCTAGCTTCCCTTTTTAAAGTTAATTTTTTTGTTCTGTTTTCGTGAACAAAACAAAGATTTTTTGTTTTTTATTTCTGCCTTGTCTTCCAGATCATGGATTGCTTCTTCAGCTTCATCTAGTCTGCTGTTGAACCCGTCTGCTGTAGTTTTCAGTTTGCTTATTGTATTCTTCAGATTTGGGGCTTTGGTATTTTCTTATATTTTCTGTCTCTTGCTGAAGTTTTTGCTGTGTTAATTGATTCTTCTCAGTTCAGTGAGCATCATTATGATCATTATTTTGGACTCTAAATCAGGTAAATTACTTATCTCCATTTCACTAATGTTTTCCTCTGGTTTCTTATCCTGTTCTTCTGTTTGGAACATATTCCTGTGTCTCCTCCCATTGCCTGACTCTCCATGTTTGTGTCTGGTTATTAAGCAAAACAGGTGTCTCTTCCAGGCAAGGAGTGACCTTGTGTAGGAGATGAACCTTATCCTTTAAACACACCTGCTCTAGCGCTTGTCTTTCTCTTTGGTCTTTGTAATTGTCTAGGCAGCCTGATTTATTCTTCCTGGGTCCAGTTGTTGAGGAAGTGCCAAGATCCGAGAGTATTCCAGAGGAAGGGATCTCATTCTTCCACTAGTTTCAGGCTAATTAGAAGCTAGACCTGTAGGCAGCAGCTTTTAATTTATCAGAGAGATATACAGTCCAGTGGGATGGCATTCACAAATCATGCTGTACTCCATCCAGACCAGGCAATCTGGATGTGTCTCCTTGGTGACAGTTGCCGAATCAGGGCTGCTAGAGAGTATGAGCTCTTGTGGGAGATACTGGCAAGCTGTAGCAAGGCTGAGGGAGAACGCAAAGGTGGCATCCACTGGCCTACGTTCTCTGAGAGCACAT